GCCACCAGGGCAAGCTGGGGAGGGCTAGCCTCCCACTAGTTCGAATTAAGGGGCTACACACCCCTTAATTCGACCTAGTAAGTTCGAACTAGGCTTAATCCTCGTAAAATGAGGTTTACCTAGTTCGAACTAAGCGCTCCGCTAATTTGAATTAAGTTCGAACTAGCGGAGCGCTAGTGTAGCGCCTATCAAAGTTAATTCGAACTAACGTCCATTAGTTTGAATTAACTTTGTAGTGTAGACATACCCCAGGAGCTTTGTAGAGTTTCACCTTCTTGCAGCCCTGCTGATGCTACTAAGAATATTAGTAGACCACTCTGGAATGATGCCAGGTGTTCCCAGTTCCTGAACTCCTGAGACGTTAGGCATCTGAATTTGGATAGCCATATGGTAATGGGCATTAAACCACTGGGCAGGCCCAAGTTTATCAAAAAGCAAAGTTTGGACCGTACTTGTTCCAAACCTCTTTGAAATGTGGTGGTTCTTACTTCTTTAATCTTTTTCTTGCAAAGCTTGTATTGCTTCTTCTGACTTTCTAAAAAGGTCGCCAGATCTTTCTTCTGCTGTGCCAAAATCTGTTGCTGGAATTTCTTCTCCTCTGCTGCAGCCATCTTTGCCTGAGAGAGAGAACATGCATGAGTGCCCAAAGTATATCACAAAGGAACATGTAACTGTGCATTCTGTCACTCTGCAGCCCTGCAATGCAATGTCCTAGTCCATCAATATCCAACTACACAAAAGTTTATTGTAAAAATATTACCACCCACATACATTTAAGGATTTCTTCATGTTTCCTGTCTCCCCCAGCAAAACCCAAAATCAAATGTTAAAACATTCAGGGTATGTCTACACTACAGCACTAATTCGAATTAGCGCATCTAGACCCAAAAACTAATTTGAATTAGCGTTTTGCTAATTCGAACTAGCATGTCCACATTGGTAGACCCTGAACCGAAGTTAAGGCTGGCCGGAACAGGTGCTGGCAGGGCACCAGGTTAGGACTTAGAGGCTGTGTCTAGATTGCATCCCTTTTCCGTAAAAAGGATGCAAATTAGACACATCGCAATTGCAAATGAAGCGGGGATTTAAATCCCCCCCGCTTCATTTGCATAAA